GCTGCTGCTGCTACTGCTGCTGCTACTATTCTACTGTTTTCTGCTACTATATACTCCTGCTGCTGGTACTGCCACTACTACTGCTGCGACTACTACTACTACTACTACTACTACTACTACTACTACTCTAGGACTTGTACTTATACATCTGCTATTGCCACCGCAAGTACTAGTACTAGTACTAGTACTAGTACTAGTACTAGTACTAGTACTAGTACTAGTACTAGTACTAGTAGCAGTAGTAGTAGTTGTTGTTGTTGATGTTGTTGATGTTGTTGTTGTTGTTGTTGTTGTTGTTCTTGTTGTTGTTGTTGTACTACTACTACTACTACTACTACTACTACCTCTACTATAACGGGGGCAAACTGGATACACGTAGTGCCTTGGACACCTGCCTGTATAGCCTTCGAAGAGCTGCCATGCGGGAGCCAAAAACTACAACGACGACTACGACGACTACTACTACCAATGCTGCTCTGTCTACTACTACTTCTACTCGTGCTTGTGTTCTTGTTTGACGACGACGACGACGACTACTGCCACTACTTCGACGTCTACTACTCGTACGACTGCCACTACGGCGTTTGTGTTTTCATCGCCTGCTGCACCGGCAAACCGCCGCCTCCGTACAGCCACCGCCACCACTACCAGTGCTAGCACCGGCACGATCAACAACAGCCCCTGTCCCCATCAACTCCATCGCGCCGGTGCCACCGTCAATACCGTCACTATTGTTTCATGTTCGACTCTCCGTCGTCATGAGAAGGAACGACAAGACAGCAGCAGAAACAGCGCAGTCAGTAGAATGTGTATCGTCATGTGATCGCGATGTTCGTCGAAGTTCACTGCCAGGGCTGTCGCAGACCTTGCTGGACGTGGATGTCGATCTTCAAGCGCAGGTGGCTAGGGGCAACTTTGCTTTCGTTGCAGAGCGAGCGCTTCTGACGCGACCCTGCCGTTCTCCTGCAGTGCTACCGCTGACACTCATCTTGGCCTGTGCAATCCGGGAAGAGACAGTCAAAAGTCGTTGCCGCCAAAAGGCGTGCACGATCCTTACAGCACAAGATTCCTCTCCGAGACATCCAAACACTGTTCGCAAGGACATGGCGCCTGCGGCGTTGCAGACGCACCTCACGCAATGGCGGTCTTGGCGCCGAGAGGGACGGCTTCCCTCCGCACCAGCGCCTCGACTTTGGAGTGTAGGGAGATTGAAAGCATGAACGACTGCTTGAGTGATTAGTGTCAGAGGGCATCATCATTTACTGCTACTGTGACTCACTTTGACTGCTGCTTCTGCTATGCTACCGCTCCTACTCTGTTCAACTTTGTTCCCCACCCTCGGAGTGGGGTTGTTACATTTTAAAGTCAGCTATTACTCCTCGCCCTCTGAGACTATCTCCTGGAGTGCCCAACCCCACAGACTACCCGTGAGGGTGGGGATGTTCGAAGTAAACTAATTTCGTTTTGTTTTTTTGGCTCGTGCGCTTAGCAACATGAAACGTGAGAAAGATGGAAAGTTCCAGGTTCCAATGGCTGTCAAGCTTGGCAGATAATACGATATGAGGATATATATATATATACACGATATTTAAGGGGCAAAGCCCAGAGTCGGGCAACGAAGGCACATTTCAGGGGAAGGGGAAGGGCGGGCGGACGGGGGAGGGCAGGGCCGGGGGGGGGGGGGGGGTCGCGCGCGCGCGCGGGCGCCCTTTGCTGTGAGCATCATCAGCATCATTGCGCTTGCGGGGCACCAATTTGAGGCCTTCCGGTACCCCTCCCGACCTCCGAAAATGCTATCATGTAGTGTATTAGAATTAAATTTTTCAGACTGTTATATTTCAGACGCAAGATTTGGAAGAGCATGTTATAGCATGGAGTTAAAACAGTCTTTTGGGAGGGGTTCGTGTTTGGCATAATCTGGGTGGATGATCTCAAGTCATGTCTCTTTACAATGCAGAAGCAAGAAACATATACAGAGACCATACGATACGACGACAGAAGCCAAAAGGGAAAAACGCCTTCATGGGAGGGCCCGAAGCTTTTGTTTTCTTTGGTTTTCCTAGGTTGTTTTTGGTATTTTCGGTTTCGCCTTCACGAGACCGTGTTTCTTTTTTGGATTTTTGGTGGCACACAAAAAACCTAGAGAATTTTGATTTCCTGGTGGAGACCTAGCGAAAAAACGAAAAACACTAGGGAATGTTGGGCTGTTTCTGCTGGCAAGCCAAAAAACCATGGTTCCGTTGATGCGAAACCCAAAAAACAAAAACAACTCAGGTCAACCAAATAATGCAAAAGTTGCGAGGTTGTCCTAAAGGTTTTGGATTTTGCGTTTCGCCGAATCTCGCAGAAAAACCCAAAATCCAAAACCTTTGTGGGGGGGCCGAAACTTGTTTTTTTTTGTTTTGTTGTGGTTTTGCTAGGGCTGGTTTTGCATTTTTTGGGTTTCGGCTGAACGAAACCATTGTCAGAAAACAACAAACCTAATTAGGTGATTTGTGTATTTCTGATGGTTTTGGCGAAAAACAAACAATGGTTGTTCTTGTGGGTTTCTGTTGGCAAGCCAAAACTACTGGTACCATGGTTTGGTTGATGCGAAACCCAAAGACAACAAAAACCTGAGAAAATAAGACCATGCATAAGTTCAGAGGTTGCCCTAATGGTTTTGGATTTTTGGTTCTCCCAGCCTTAGAGCCAATGAAGAGCGCAGCATGCTTGTTAGGAAATGGCTTCGTCGTGTAAGCATTTGCAACAGATCTCGTGCCAGAAAGCCAAATTTGTCAACCATTGATGATTACTACTACCCTTTACTTGTGGCCAGTTATCATGTATATAGTTCCTTGATGCCAAAAACAAGTTGGGTATATACGCATGAGATAGCGGTCGAATATTTCATGAACATCAAATGCCAAACGATATTACTAATTATGAATACCAAGTGCCAAGCGATATGAAGAACTACTTTAAGTGTTAAACAGATGTTGCATAGATAACGCATAGTTGCGGCGAAAAATGAAGAACAACTGAACATCCTAGAATCGTTTACCACTCTTTTAAGATTCAAACGAAATTTACGATATGGCATGATATTGTATCGGTCTTGTCCCATAACTTTTGATTTTTTTGATTAACGGTGTTGGATTTCCACTAATCACGTGAGAGCATATCGCATATCATGCACAGTCAGAAAACTTCAAAAAGCGCTGGGATCATGACCAAGCCCAAAGCGCTGGGTACATGATCCCGCTTAGAACCACGTTTGGGGATACTCCTTACAATAACTACAATGAGGAATAGCAGTGTGTAAAATCAAACAGCAACTCGATGCAGAAGCGTGAATAATGAGGTACAACATCCCCTAATCGTCCTTCTATATCTATGTTGATACAAACTTATTTCAATTCTTCAGGCCCGTTTACATCGCGTAAACCCTGATCCTAAACTTCAAGCTCCGAAGCGGGATGATATGAACTATTGTATCAGTCTACATGTGACCTTTCGTAATTTCGTACCTACCCTTCATAAGAGCTGTAAATTGTCAGCATATACGAAAATTTGATGAATAGCTCATATTTATAGAGAAAGTCGCACGCGGGCGTGTGTAAAACCATACGAGCACAATTCCATATACAGCCTTCGATACACCGTGGTACAATTGTATACTGACATGAAGATACAACTGTATATGCGAGGCGTTGACAAAGTACGCAGCTGTTATTTACTTACGGATTCATATGTGTGTTCGACTATCTTCGGGAAATATGGAACACACGCACATGTACTCACACAGAAGCATACGTACATATTTACCTATGCTGATATACTGTAATAAACAGTAGTCTTAGACATGGGTGTGCATATGTTATTTTTATATACACCCGCATTGTGAAAGCAGCGGTGTGTATGTGTATTGCATGTGTATATGTACATATACATATGTATGCACATTTATATGTTTATATGTTGTCATAATTCTGGAGTTCTAGGAACAGCTGAGGCTAATGGTTAATACCTAGCGTTGCAACATGTAACAAAGTAGCCAATCATACGGAAACATGCAACTGTGAAGTCCTCTTGTTTATCACAAACGGAAGATCGCACGCAGACTCCCTTTTGTTACAAGTGTTTGCATGGGTTGTGCAGTTTTGTTTCGTTGGCTATCCTTCAATTTGGTTAGTTTGTGTTTCTTGGCTGTGTTTCGGGTCTCTGGAACCGCGCAAAACACGCAACAAGCGCACTCTCACAGTGCCCCGGTTTGTAATGTTAATACTAATGCTACTGCTGATACCTAATACTAATACGAATCTTCATACTAATGCCTATACTGGTTGCATACTGATCGTCGCAGCCGAAGCACCTCGTGGTAGGTCTTGTGGGGGGGTGGGGGGGTGGGGTGTATGCATGTATGTATGTATGTATGTATGTATGCACACAATATATAAGTGTATAGATATATACATACACATGCATGCCTGCACATACCGTGATGTCACATATCAAGTTATAGTAAAAATCTTTACTTGGCACATGTTGTCCATACATACATACATACATACATATATATATAATATGTGTGTGTGTGTGTGTCTGGGTATGTGTATATACATATATGTATGGCAAAGGATAGTGGGTAATGATGGTAACAAATTAAAGCATGCAACATATAACGCACAATACATACATGTAACATGTAACATATAATGCACAACATATATCTCACAACGCGTGGATATATATGTATAAATATATACACATACATGCATGATGCATGCTAGCCGGTGCAACTAGGACTTTTTTTGCAAGCCTGCATGACGAGTTCCCGGCACTTTCGCTCAGTATCGGAAAGCACTAAATTCACCAGATGCATCAGTTCCCGAAGCCAGTCACACGGAAATAGCAGCATTTCTCCGGTCCATGGGCTTCCGGGCTTCAGCCCCTTCTCGCTCCACGCGGTCTTGTCCCAAACCTGCAGTCTCAAAGCCAGGAATCCCGAAACCCCATTCCTACAAGTAGCGACTGCTGGGTGGGATACTTGGGAGTTGCGCTTTGTTCCGAATGTGCCCTGTGATTGCATTTTAACACGGACTCGATGTTGTGTCCTTGCCGCCGCCAAATCGAACACTGCCTGAGCCTTACACCCTAAAACGAGGGTATGCGGCTTTTGGATTTTAGGGCTTTGTTCACATACCATCGGCCCTACAACTCGATCGGCTCCAGGTTCACTTGCCACCAGCACCGATTGTGCAGCATCCTACGAAGGCAGCCCCCGTGCGCCAGGCAGCGACGAGTGTTTCGATTTTGGGTGTTGTTGGGGGTGGAACCTGTGGCTCCTCGGCAATATTATTATTTAGCGAGCATAATAAAGTCAGACCAATAGTAAAGTCAGACCATGTGCTCATTGCTGCCTCTGAAAATTGTAATGCCGATGGTGGCCAAGGAAATCATCATGATCGATCATTGTAGGGATTGCTACCATGACTTAGCATATGAGTACGGTGATCAGTGCTTTCGCTGCTACAAGTAGTTTCGCGACTAAAGCACATCGTAAACAAATCGGTGATGCCCGTTTCGGCAAACTGAGCCTGTTGCTACTGTTACAGTAGTTACAGGGCAGCCACCCCGTAGCATGGCAGCGACGCCTGCCCATGTACGGCTTCATCCCTCCATCACCGAAATACTGGCACAGAGCCATGAAGCTCGAACCGGTTGCCAATGCCACTGGCTTGAGTAAAACAGCCTGTAGCAACAGCCGGGGTGACAAAACTGGGGACCGCGAAAGCGCATCCTGACAGAACTCTGGATCCGCAGCACAACCTCCGGCAGGACCTGGTCATGATTTTGGGTACATCCGCCCCAGAACTTAAACTTTATGCCTGTCGTGATCCCATGCCGTAGGTCCCATGCCGAAACTCTACGAAAGGGATGCTTACTGCTGGGGAAAATGGGGAAGGAGATTTAGTCTTAGAGGGGCCGTCCTACCATTGGCAAACCGCGTTGAGCTTTGTCGCACTAGAAGCTGACTGGCTGCATCAGATGCTCGTTCGGCCTGAAGCGGTATCATCAATGTCCCTCTTGCAGGAATGAAGACTTTCACACTGGGGTCACAGCTGCAGCTCTTATTTCTCTGTCTATCCGGCTGCACTCCGTATTCAGTCACACCTGGTTTCGATAGCTAGTCGCAGTCCTGGTCCCAGCCTTTGTCCCATTCTACACGGTTGGCCAGGACCTTGTGAAGTTGCACGCAGTCTCAAGGGAGGTTACATAAGGCTGCATCCATTGGCATATCACTGAAGACATCCGGTTTGCTCTCCAACGGCAGCTTTAGAGTACTATCTTGCAGGACTGCATCTCGACATTTCTGTGCCAAGCAGGGCAATCAATGAGTGCCCTTTATGACATTCCAGCAATTGAGTTGCAGATGCCGCAGGCGGTTTCAAGGTGTTTCCACAATGCTTCTGCTGTGATTATTCCGGCCATTGAATAACTAACTAACTGTACCTGCTTGACCTCACTCTTTGTACATGTAGCCAAAAGAATGGTGGCAGCTGTGGCACCACCAACTGACCTGGGCTTGGACCAGGTACCTCAAGGATTTCCGTGACCAAGACCTGGATGGCCAGGGGCTGAGTTCGGCTCCTGGCCGTGAAACTCGTGCAACCTCCTGGAAGTACCGGAACAAACATGACTTCGGCTTCGTTCTGTTTACGGCTCTGACCTGCAAGCCGAGGAGTTCTGGAGGGAATATCGCAGACCCCGGCAGGCCACATTCATCCCCGCAACGTTCGCTGTCACCTACATGCAATTTCGGCGCAAATTCGTCGCTAGACATCTGGATCAATTTCTGCGACAAAACAGCCCTTGTGCTCAAGTCTCATTCTCCCCTGTTCACAGACGACTTCGAGACCAATGAGTTCGTGTGGCCTCCACCGAAGCGATCCACGGAGCTCTCTGTGAGGGGCGTGATGCAGGTTGCAGAACAGATCTCGGCGAGGCTTTTTGCTTTTGAAGGCATGGGAGGTAATTGAGGGTCCGTCTCGTCGTTATTGCAACAGCAAGACTGTTGTGTCATGGCGAAAGTAGGTTTATTTTCACGTGCGACCAATACCCGCTCTTGCCGAAGTCCGTTTAGCGGGACTGACAGGAAGGAGTGTCGGCACTGACCGGGACAGCACACGTTTTGTGGATCCCGGCCCCACAGTGAATGGGTTGGTGTTGGAGGACACCGGTTCCAGACTGAGCACCAAAGTCAAACTTGTGTCTTCCATGCAGCTCCAGCAAGATATTGTCGAAGAGGCTGCCGAGTGTGACTTCAAGACCAGCGGCAAGCAACTTCAAAGCAAGCCTCGAAATCACTGAAACCCTGAAGTTCTAAACCCTTGTAGTAACCCGTAGCGCCATTTGCGGGTTTCCGAAAATAGGGGACCCTAATTTAGTACCCTAAGTAGTAGGATCCTTGTTATAAGGACTCCAAAATAAGGTACCCCTACGAATTTTCGGAAACTCCCATTTAGTAACCCAGCGGCAACCCGTGCCTGGAGGAGCGCAGCCGAGGCGCTGCAGCGGCTCCACCGGCCACGAAGCTGCCCGTGGTACAAGGGCGAGGCACGCGCGCGCTCGTACCGCATGTGGGGATTCAGGGTTCAGGCTACAGGGGCTCTGACATTTTCGGGCCTCGGTTGAAGAACGGCAGATGAGGCAATGCTGGCAGCCATCAAGTCCGGCTTCAAAAAGCGCTCAAAAACAAGGTTTAGAGTTTAGGGCTTTGGGGTTCTATGGGCTTTAGGGCTACTGGTCGTGATGGTCGTGTTATCCATTGATTGCTGTCAACGGATCGAAGACATCCACGACTGCTTGTCGCTTGAGCAGTGTTGCAGGCATTACTGAGAACATGCCAAGCTCAACAGGCAAAAGCCTCAGTATGGCAACCACGGTTGTATGGTAACGCACAAGAATCGGGAAGTCTATTCGGTAGATGTAGTGAGACTGCGAACAGAGAGACCACGTCTGGCTGAGTCCGAGTTGCGAGCTCGTAAACGTACCGTTTCTATGTTTCTAGGTGCAAACTCGACATTGCAAAGGGGCAGTACAAGCACAGGCAAGTGCGAGATTCTGAGATAAAGTAAAAGCGTTGTAAATTTCAATTTCAAGCAGGAGCAACGCGTCAGAGAGAAGACAGGTGCGGATCATGCGAGGGTGGGATGACCGTGAAGGAGCACCGAGAGGTTTTCAACCCCGAACCCTCGCTTCGGGTGCCGAATGTCCAAACAAGATTGCGTGCGCGCGTAGGGGCGTTTCTGCGCCTGTGCGGCAGACAGTCAGACTATGATAAAGATATGTGATTGGGTGTGTGTATGGTTGCGCCCCTTCGGCCCCCCGCCCCCCCACTGGTATCCTCTCATTTGGTCATCCCCCTTCCCTCCCCTGCACAACGGATTGGGCCTCGAGCTTGTGTGTGGAGTGGTCGAGTGATTTGATTCAAGCCTTCTTCCAATGGTTGTGCATGTGACCCCCCTCCCCTCCCCTGAGGATCGGCTGGGGTCGTCCCCCTCCCTCTGTGGAACAGGGCGCACGGGCATCGAAGGCTCCAAACCCGTGTATTTGTGGGGAAAAACCATTGGGCGGGGACAGAACGCACAGCGTACAAACATGTATGGCTGCATATGTGTACGTACGTAGGCAGGCATGTATGTATGTATGTATG